GTAGTATTGGAAATCGAAGGTTAAGAAATCGTGATTTGGAATAGATGACTCAGTTTTGAATCAGGGATACGAAACCAAATGGAAAGAAAAACCGAGTGATTGAGATTTCATTTGTGAAATTATTAATGTCGACTGTTTTTAACGACAAATCAATGCTTAAGATGGATTAAGTTCGAATCGATTTGAAATCATGATTGTTTATTTGGTGGTTTTTGATGAATGGTTAGATTTCGAAGGGATGAGTTAGTCGTTTATGGTCTTGTTAATGGTATACAAAGAACGAACAGATGAAAAGATTGTATTTTTGATTTCTAAAGATTGGAGTCAATGTTCGTTAATTTGGAATCGATCATGAGTCGGGTCAAGAATCGATGATTTTTAGACTTGTTGTCGAGTAATCAAGAACGAAGGGTCATTGTTCGTTTGTTCTTGGGTTTGGTTTGGGGGAAAACGAAACTTTGATTGTAAACGAGTGATTGACTGTGTTGGAATGAATCGAAGGGGTGTTTGGCATTTGAACGAAGGGGTGTTTTTGATTAAAGGGGCATTTTTGATTTTCGTACGAAGGGTATACGGATGAATGTACCAAGGGTATATCCTGAATATTCGAAGGGGGTATATTGGAAATTCGTACGAAGACTTTTACTGTTCATTAATGGGTCTTCATATGCTTGTACAACGAATGAATTACACAAATGGGAATTTTTCAAATCTGGCCCCTGAACCATCAAATCTTTGACACTTCGCAAATTAACTCAACTTTCGAATATTTGAGACTTTTCACCCAACTTCGAAAATTGGTTAAGGCTTCGTATATTTGAACTAGTCTTCGTATATTTGAGCAAAAATGCATAATTTACGAAGATGGTCACTGAGACTTCGAATTTTTGGCAGTTTTCACCCAAATTCGAAAAATGACTATTTTTTGCTGAAAATTGAAGATTGTGCATTTCAGGCCCCTATACTTTATGCAAATTGACGCTTTCTACCAAACTTTGGAAAAATGGGAGAGTTTTGCATATTTTGCTGTTTTGGGCGCAACGGGTCACTGCAGAATTTTGAAATTGACAATTTCTACCCAATTTTGAGAAATTTTGTCAAAGGCGATCCGTGAACGACAATAAAAATTGAATATTTTTTGGGTTTTCCGGATTGAAGCACAAAGTTTATGCCACATGTTAAAGGGGAGTTTTGACATGAAAATTCCGAATAGAACACGTTCTTTTTCCTTTGGAGTTTTATAATCAAATTTCGATTATAAAAAGGGGGAGAAGTTTTATATGGAAATTCAAACTTGAATTTTTCATATTACGCAGATTTGAAGACCGAAGTGATCTTGAAGTTTTGAAGCTTATGAGATGATGCAATTGGAAGTTCGGAATTGATATATTCGAAATGGGTTTGGTTTTATTGAAGATTTTTGGGGTGTCTTTTTATGCACAACTTTTGGGTGATTATTTGGAGTTTGGAATACTCTTAATCATTCGTTGTTGCTCGGATTGTATGGTCTCACATCCTAGAGCCCAAATTGAAGAGTCATGGAAGAATTGAAGATTGAAGTTCGTTTAGACATTTGTCACCTTTGAGGCTCGAACCGCGTAGTGCTTGATTTTGGAAGATTTGAAGTGGGTCATTCATTCCTAACTTTGAGGGGGAGAATGTTGGGGTGCAAAGTTCTTCATTCATGACTTTGTAAATGTTTGACTTTTGTAAAACCCACTTGCATGTGATGCTTTAGCCCTTAGACCCATTTGGTAGTTAGAGTGAGAGAGAGAGAGAGAGAGAGAGACATGTAAATACCTCTATAAATAGTGGTTTTGTCCACTTGTAGAGGTGTGCTTGAGAGATGTAGAAGTGAGTGTGTAAGTGTGTGTTAATTATGTAGTCTAGATCTAGATCTTTTTTGTAACACCATATACATTCATTATATCTCTTAAACACCCAAATCACCATGTTCAAGTGTGCAAGCTTTAATTCCGCATGCCAAACCATGTTCTTTGTCACTACAATTGGTATCAGAGCAGGAATCCTTTATGTGATCTGTTTTTCATACATTCAAAAAGGTTTTTGAGTCTACTGTTTGATTCAAAAAGTTTCCGTTCTTTTTATGTGGAATATATTTCTTGATCTAGGTCTAGGATTTGATTCTGCGAAAATTTTTGTGAATCCTTTGTTTGTAGTGTGATTCTAATCTGAAAAATACAATTTGATTTCAAATTCTCCGAGTTTTCATAATCTTCTTGAACTTTTGTTCCGTACAACAATGGCATCATTCAATCTTAACTCCATGACATCATTTTCTCATTTTCTTGGATCATCCACAAAGATTCCGATGCTAATTCCAGAATATTACGATTAGTGGGCAGATCGTATGCAAGACTACTTGAACAGATTGGATGAAGAACTATGGAATTGTATTTCAGGAGAAATCAATCCACCTGCAAGAGTTCAACCAATCGGTGCATCTTCAAGCAGCTCGGAGGTTGATAATCAATCTAATCGTTTGAAACAACTAGAAAAGAGGTGCATGAGGGAATTAAGAGGTGCTTTGCCTCCTGTTGTGTACAATTATGTCAGGACTTGCACAACAGCTAAAGAAATCTGGAACAATCTCAAAGACAAATTTCAAGGCAGTGAAAAGACGAAGATCACTTCGGTGAAACAATGTTTAGTGGAACTCAAGGATTTCAAACAGAAGGAGTCTGAATCCATTGAAGTTTACTATGACTGGTTCAACGAGTTAATCTACCGTTGTAATCATTATGGTATCACAAGGTCATCAATGGAGTTCAACTTGATATTTGTAATGGGACTTCGAAAGGAATGGAGAAGTGTAAGTATGATGGTGAAAAATCAGCAGAGTTTTGACACTTCGACTTTAAATGACTTGTACAATCAATTGAAATCTCATGAAAATGAGGTTAATGAAATAGCTGAGGAAGCTATGGCAAGTCTTGGTGGTCCATTAGCACTAATTTCAAAGGTTTCAGAAAAAGAAAGTGAAAAATCGAAGTCTGATGAAGAAGAAGGTTTTCTGATGAATTCTGATGATCCAGTGGAGGGGGAGCACTTGGATTCAAACACTTTTGTTGAGGAGGAGTATTCTTACGAAGCAGAGAATATGTCTAACAATATTGATGTTGAGGGGTAGCCAATAATTGACGAGGAGCCAATACACGAAGAGGAGCAAACACTCGAGGGGGAGCCAATACTTGAGCATGATACGATATTAGAAGGAGAGCATTTTGATGATGCTGAGGATGCATGTTCAATAAATGGATCAGAAACCGATACTATGTTCGAAGATGCACCTTTGGACTTTTATCCTGATTATCCACCTTTGGATAAATGGACAAGAAATCATCCAAAAGAACAAATTCTTGGAGATCCACAAGCAGGGGTATTGACAAGGGCTCAACTTCGTGCAAGAAATGAGGTACGGAATACTCACCAAGATCTATGCATGTTTAATGTTTTTATTTCCAAATCGATCCAAAGACTGTTAAGGTTGCAATGCAACACTCTGATTGGGTTGTTGCAATGCAAACTGAATTATCTGAATTCGGAAGAAACAAGGTTTGGAGATTAATTCCTAAACCTGTTGATGTTTCAATTGTTGGACTTAAATGGATTTTTAAAAACAAAACCGACAAAGATGGAAATATTATTCGAAATAAGGCCAGACTTGTTGTTAAAGGATATTCTCAACAAGAAGGAATTGATTATGAAGAAAATTTTGCCCCTATCGCAAGACTCGAGGTTGTTCGTATTTTTCGGGCTTATGCAGCTCATAAAGATTTCCACGTTTATCAAATGGATTTAAAATGTGCATTCCTAAACGGCGAACTTGAAGAAACAGTTTATGTTGAACAACCACCAGGTTTTATAAATAACGAACATCCTGATCATGTTTATATTTTAGATAAAGTTGTGTATGGTTTGAAACAAGCACCAAGAGCATGGTATGCAACTTTAACATCATTTTTAAATCAATCTAAATTGAAACAAGGATCAGTTGATCCCACTTTATTTCGAAAGAAAGTAGGGAGTCACCTGATGCTTGTCTAAATTTATGTTGATGATATAATTTTTGGCTTTACTGACCCTGCTTTGTCTAAAGAATTTGAAAACTTGATGAAAAGCAAATTCGAAATGAGTATGATGGGCAAAAATTAATAATTTTTTGGGTTTGAATATTCGTCAAAGCAAAGAAGGCATCTTCATTAATCAGGAGAAATATATGAAGAATCTGCTAAAAAAATTTGGAATGACGAATAGCACAAGGTTACGAGTACCAATGGCAACGGGCATCAAGTTAACCCCTTCGTTAGACAAATCTGTTGTTGATATCACTTTGTATAGAAGCATGATAGGGTCATTATTGTACTTAACTGCGAGTCGACCTGATATTATGTTTTCTGTTTGTAATTGTGCAAGGTATCAGTCGAATCCACGTGAACCACATCTAACAGCGGTGAGGAATATTTTTCAATATTTGAAAGGCACCACTTCGTTAGGTTTGTGGTATCCTTTGAAAACAGGGTTTTTTGTACAAGCTTATTCAGACGCTGATTTGGGAGGATGCAGTCTTGATCGAAAAAGCACAACTGGTGGGTGTCAATTACTAGATGGAAAATTGGTCAGTTGGCAATCGAAGAAGCAAACATGTGTTTCGATCTCTACAGCCGAAGCTGAATATGTTGCTGCAGCTACGTGTACATCACAAATTATTTGGATTCAAAGTCAATTACGTGATTATGCTATAAATATGAAAAAGATTCCTTTATATTGTGATTCACAAAGTGCAATAAGAATTTGTCATAATCCTGTGCAGACAGATATCATTTCATAAAAGACCATGTGGAAGAAGGAAATATTGAAGTTCATTTTGTGAAAAAAAACGGAACAGTTAGTAGATATTTTCACAAAGGCATTGGATGAAAAATCATTTCTTCGTATTCTAGAAGGATTGGGAATGCTTGATGGAAATTTAATTTCATATGACAAAAGCAAAGAGTGATGGGTCATTGACAAAAGAGAAAGGTGTTCAACATTCAGAGGCTACTGTTCATGGTCAACGCTTCGAATGCTTCGCATTCGTATGTTTTGTTCCTTGGTGACGTCTGTATTCAGAGACTAATGTTCAAAGTCAACTGTTCGAATGCTTCGCGTTCGTTTGTTTTGTTCTTTGAAGATATTCTTATTCAGAGGTCATTGTTCTGAGTCAAATCTTCGCATGGCTTTACATTCAACATCTTCAACTAAGGTATGATTTCTATAAACTTTGGAATAGTTAGGATGTCCCTAGAAGCATGCTGCTGCATGTTGACTCAAGCCTCATATGACTTAATGTGTGAGAAAGGAAAGCCTTGATGAAATTATCTCATGAACATTTCTTCCCAACAAGGCTTATATTCGCATTAGTCAACAGAGCTACCTTACTCTTCTCATATGAGTTAAGATTTTTCTGTTTTGTCCACATATAACAGAGGTACATTCGATCTATAAACCAATCTTTTTCATCCTAAACTTCTTTACACAATTCACACACAATGACGTATGTCCCAAAGATTTTTGATCACACCAATCGAAATCTAGACATACAAAAGCTGTGAGTTTATGATCTGAAATCATGAGCCCGTGATGGAAGTAAAACCCTAAAATCCAACAAATCAAGGAATTGACGGGGAACTTTGTTCCAGAAGTTACGAAAAATTTGTTTCAGTACCTTTTATACTCCAAATTGTATTCATTTTTTTTGAGTGATCTTGATCAAATATTCGAAACCTACGATGTTTGTTCCCAACAAGATCCAGCATAATATTTTTTCATGAATATGATTTCCATGTGAGTATATTTCGAAAATCCTTGCTATGATAAATATCATTCTAAACCAATTTGTCACTGACTACACTGGTCACACAAATAATTTCAGTTACAATTACTCACCTTATGTTAAGGCTGATATGTAACGAAATTTTCGAAGCCACCTATTAGCCTTATAAAAGAAACCCTTCGAAACTTCTCTACAAGTTGTCGATTGTAATTCATGGGAAACCAAGCAAGCTGTTGATTATCTCTCTTGATAATTTTCGAAGAAGTCTTTTCCTGGGATTTAACTGCTTTTGTGTCAAATCAAATTTTTGACATCACCACTTTCCAAATTTTTTTACATTTGTTTCTTATCTAAATTTTTGGAACACAGCACACACGAAATCCTTGAGGTTTTGAGTATTACCAACTCAGACTGATGATTTCGAAACTCTGGCATATGACTTCGCTTTTTAACCCAAAAGTTAAAGAGCCTTACCTCTATTCATTCCGAAGGGTTCCGACCGTTACATTTCTCTTGGGGAAAACCAAACAGTCTTGTCTTTTGGTGATGTATGGAATACGATACGAGTTTTAGGCGTGCTGACAGTTACGTTTGTTACTTTTTGATGAGTGAGGTTCGTATTTCAAGGTGCCATATCAGCAAGCATTTAATGCATCCCGCTTGAAATTCAAAATTCTAGGGTTACATATAAAAAGGGAACTCAGGGGTCAATAACGTTTTATGCGATCAAATATTCTCTTTCTTCCAAATTCTCTCTGAAATTCATCTTCTTCAAAAATCATCTTCTTCACATTCAACAATGGCGACTCAAAGGCAAGATTCAATTCCATCATCACCAACAACTGAAGAAGTTGTTTCTATTCCAATATTGAAGATACAGGGTTCAAATTATCAAGTGGAGTCTGATTTATCCAAGTATCCGGATGAACTCAAGATGTTGGTGGTTGATTTACAAAATTCTGTTCTATCCAAAGCCATATTCAATTCATTTGCAGTTCTGATGTCCTGGTTATCTAAAGTCTGATCAATAGCGTCATACAACAAAGAAACGAGGAGTGTGGAGTTTACAATGGTGAATGAAACACGTATTCGGGTGTCCAAGAGGTTATTCTGCAAGATTTTGGGAGTTCCGAACACAGGTCCGTATGTGGAAGTCACTTCTTCACAAATTGTGTTCATGTTCAACGAAATGGGTCATCAACCTCCATTGACGCGTATCAGTGATTTTAAGAAATCTGGTTTACCTACGGTATGGAATTTCTTATTTGGTATTTTTCTCCGTTGTCTTACCGGAAGAACAGTGGGTCTAGATAAAGTGCGAATGAAAATCTATGCAATGGTGGCTGGACTTTATTATGATTTGCAAGTTGATTACTCTGAACAGCTATGGGCAGAGTTCTTGACAAGCATTTGGAAGACCAATGTCAGGCAGGGGATTTCATGTACCAGATATTGGAGTCTTATTCTTCAGTATGTTTATCCCAAGGAGAGGATTGCAATTCCTGAAGATGAAGAAAAAGTTGTTTTCCACATGCATGGCAGTCCGAAGGAGGTTGTTGATGATCCTGCAGTTTTTACATCTGTTGCTCGTATTCCGAATGTGGTGCTCAAAAAGGTGGATCCAACAAATAACGTGTTGGTGTCATATCTTCAGTCAATTGACACAACCGTTGTTAGTGGTGTATTATATGACGCAGAAACGAATAAATCTAAGAAATCGAAGAAGACAGATGTTGGGCCTTCGGAAAGAAAAGTAAAGGTTGAGAAGAAGAATAAATCTCCTAAAGTCAAACCAGCTTCAGTCGAAGAAAGTTCTCAACAAATTATTTCTCCCATTTCGACGACTATTGCTGCTACATCAACAATCGAATCTTCTCAGGAGAAAGAGATAATTCCATCAAAGACGGGGGTTTTTCGCCGACTCAAATTCAAGGTAAAATCTTTGTCTCAGCTTGTTTAGAAAACTCAAATCACACATCATGGTGTTATGGTTCGTGAAATCCCAGCCCATGTTTCTCCATCATTGAAAAAGAGAAGGGCTGAGGATCTTGCAAAGTTTATCAAGAAGAACCAAAGGACCGAGGAAGAAGAGAAAGTTCCTGAAACACATGAAGTCCATATTCAAGAAGAAGTGAAGATTAGTCCACCTGTTACTATTTCAAAGCCTGTTGATTCAAGACCTGTTGAACAAGGTCACATTATCTCTTTACCCCAGGTTACATCAACTACTGATTCTCCAACTTTTCAATCTATCATGGATCAACCGTTCACTACCATTTTTTCTACTCAATCTACTGATCCACCGAACCCATCATCACCGGTTGATGAAACCATGGCTACTGATGCTGGAACTCATAACGAAGGCTTTGGAGGAACGTTTGAAGCTCTTCACTTTGATACTTCCGAAGAAGATTTTCCAGACTACATGCTGATGACAATGAAGCCATTCAAGATTCTAAATTCAAAATTAAATTCAATCTTGCAATCACAAGCAGATGTGGGCAGTGTTGGAGTGACGAGTTTGGAGGTTGATTCATTGATGAAATTGATGGAAGGGCGTGTAATTTCGAAGGCTTCTAGATTAATTAAGGATTCAGAAAGTAGAGTTCTTGAAAAAGTTGATCAACATCATGCTTCTACTGAGAATCGAATTAATTCTCAGAATGCTGATTTTGTACGAGAAGTGAAGGATTTGAAGATGGTTACGAAGGAGCGTAATGTGCTCTTCGTACAAGAAGTTAAAAAGGTACGGGAGGATGTTAATCTACAAATTAGAGAACTTTGTGAAGAAATGCAAAAGGAAGTTCAAATCGTACAACAGGATTATGCTTCGGCTAATCAGAAAATTGATATCATCTGTGATGCTTTCACCAGATGTATCAAACTTTTCTAACAAATGAATCCAATGCTGATAACTCTTTCTGCCAAAGACGAGCAAAACTTTGGAGAGTTGGTCGGTTTTTTGAAAGAATTAAAAGCATTATCTTTGAAGTCCGTCTCTCCGATAATTTGCCAAGAATTTCTTTCACAGAAGTTTTCCCATTTCGAAGCCATTCTACACAAGAATCTGATTCCCCTGCTTCGCATTTCCAGCCTTTCACCAACAGTATCAGATGCCCCACCTGCTTTCACAGGGGTGCAAGGGGGAGAAAAGATAGATCAAATAAAGTTTGTGGAACAAGTAAAAACTTGCGAAGGGATGAAGACAACTACAGAAGATGCGAAGGTAGTTGGAAAGATATACCCTTCGAAGGTGGTGGCAAAGGCAACTGTTGTTTCTGCTGGTCCAGTTACTTCAACTGTGATCACAACAGTTCCAATTCCAAAACCTATCTCAAAAGGAGTAGTAATTGGTAAGCAAACAGGAGGATCATCTTCAGAAAAAGTTGATTTATCGAAAATAAAAGATAAGCGCAAAGAGACACTGATTGAAAAGTCCAAAGAAGAGAAGAAAGCAGAAGTGGCAGCGGAAGAAGAAAAAATGAGACATGTACAGAGCATAATGAGACAAATGGCTCTAGAAGGTTCGAATGTTGACAAGGGTGATCCATTAAAAGTGTATAATTACGAAACCTTTGAATCTAGGGTGATGTTTGATCATATGTATTCATTTGAAAAGATTCCGAAGAAAAGCTACGTGGTGACAAACATTGATTTTTGTCAACTTGATTTCCCAATCAATGAGATGATGTTTGTCGTGACACAGTTCAAAGCTGAATCAAAGTCACTGTAAACAAAAGAGGGAAAGAAGATGAAAATAAGGTTTCACGCTGTGTTGGCAAAGGCTTAGGAAGAAGTTTGGTTTTTGGAGAAGATAATAAAAGTGATATCTATCAAAAGAGATGTCATTTTCGAAGGGAAGTTTGAAAATGTTAAATACATTGTTGCAAGGGCAAGCGGAAAAATTCAAGAATTTACGGTGGCAAACTTTCCTTTAATGAATACTTATGATCTCATCAATGTGGCCCTGATGCTTAAAGACAAATCATTTTCATTTTTGAAAGATACTGAGCCTGATGTTTTTAGCCTTGGGTGCAAGCACATAAAAATATACTTGGAAAATTACTTCGAGTGCTTGGCTTAAACAGATGTGGAACTTGCTATAGTCAAAGGAATTGATATAACTGCACCAATGGCACCAACAAAGAAGCAAAGTGAGCTGAACAAGTATGAAGATGGTGAAATTTGCTTAAAACCATTGGGGATAGTTTTTGCTGGGAAGGATAAAACTGGAAGAGCTAAAAGATTTTTGTTCCAAACTTGTGAAGTGGAGAGATACAGCAATTCTCAATATACGAACTTGATTGTTCGTATGAACCACTGCAAGAAAAACTCAGAAGGAGATAAGAAAGAGATAAAGAAGGTTATCTCTTGGTATACGGAGATCCGAAGAGTGCTGATGTATGCCGTTCAAGCACTGACTACTTGAAGACTTCGACCTTGATTCCAAAGGGGGAGCAATAGGGCTAAAATGTTGTAATAAGTCAAAGCATCAGTTTGTTTGTTATGAAGAATCTCATTGTCTTCGTATGTATGGGTCTTTGTATATATAGTTATTTTACTAAGGCATTATATAGTGATGGCTTAACGTTTAATCCTTAGTATTTTGCTATGCTTTAATTCTCCTATAAATAGGGGCATGTACTAGTGATCTAGTAACAACTTTTACACACAGTTTTACAGTTTATTCATTGTATTTTGTAAACTGAAAAGCATAATATGAGCTGATCAAAGATTCTATTTACTTTCGTGTTCATCATTTCAATTCTTTACTCAATTACTTCTAGAATTACAATCAAACTCGATTCCAAATCTCATCACTGTCTACTGATGACATGAGAATACAAGTTATTTTGAAAGAGTTTAACAACATTAAGCTGGTGAGTTCATAAGAATTTAGTGTCTATGTTTGTATCAAAATGTTTGAACCGTTGTTTGAAGTACAAGCTTGTAAACGTTTGTAGTAAAAGTATGTGAATGTTTGTAAGTGTTTGTAAAAGTTTGTAACCCCTAGAAAATCCTATATTTTCTAGTAAAAGTAGCCTTCTGCCAAGGCACAACTGTTTTGTATGTTTATTCTTGTAAAAGTGTGTAATTTTCCTAAGTGTAACTATTATTATCAAAATATAGGTTATACATTAATGTTTAGGTGAAGTGATCACCAAATAAATGTAGCGGGTAAATTAATGTAGTATTGTAGTGTTGTATTATAGGAACTATTGCTGTACTAACTACCTTAAACCGGATTTATATCAAGGTATTATGTGATTAATTGTACCATACTATCAACTATGAAACACGACAATGTAAGTCATCAAAAGGTATGACATTTGGCACCCGAAGACCTGCAGGTCCCGTTGTAGCTAGCAACAAGGTGTAGGATAGTCAATCCAATATAGATCTATCTGCAAACTCATGCTCTCCCTCCAGGAGATTCTGGCTACAACTCTGGCCATGACAATGAAGGCATGCTTCGATATAGTGGATCACATTTATGTTAAAGTGTACTTGTATATGTAATGTATTGTTTCTCGTCATAGTATCGTTGTATATGTTCTCATCGTAGTATCGTTGTATATGTTCTCATCCTAGTATAGTTGTATATGTTCTCATAGTAATAAGTAATGACTCATGAATTAACTGACTCTTGTATGCTTCATTGAACTAGAAGTAGTAAGTAGTATATGAAAGACCCCAAATTTCGTATTTATGAAAGATCCAAACTTTCATACTATTTCAGAAAAAATTTCTTAAGTTACTTTCTCAAAATAAGCTACATGCATATTTATAAAACAATATTTTATATTGATAAAGTGATTACAAAAGATTGGATACAAACTGACTAAGTTTTATTACATTTCATGTCTACCCAGTAATCTACTATTCATATACATACATGAACATTAAAATACAGAGAAATAGTATTAACTATTCTAAATCTTTCAGCAGTATAAAACTATATTGGATATTCATCACCTGCAATTGTTAAACATTGAGAGGGATAAGCAATAACGCTTAGTGAATTCAATAAATAGATACAATATAATCTTATGCCTTATATATACCAATATTACAGAAGCAAAAGGGAACAAGAACAACAATAGCATATGTGTATCATATGTCAGGCTTTCAATATCAACTCAAGATTTGATTCAAAGATTTACGATCAATGAGACATAATGATTTCAATACTTGATATGCATCAATAAAGCTTTGGCCCAAATGGCACAAAAGACATAATTTCTTATTAACATTTTGGTAGATTTCAGGCTTATAGCCCTGTCTAACCATTTGCCAATACCATAGAATAGAGTTCATTCTCTTACGGAGTCATGCTCTACATGGTCAGAGGCTACATACCATTCCTATTTAACCTTCTGCCAATGCCATAGAATAGAAGTCATTCTCTTACGGAGACATGCTCTACATAGCCAAAGGCTACATACTAGTACCAATGTGATTCTAAGTCCTTTCACTGATCACATGGTCAAAGGTATTATATTTGCTATAAACATAGCGAATAAAATAACACGGGAAAATAACTCAGAAAAATAACATTGAAAAGCACATAGCACATATAACACATAACATACAATTGTTCCTATATATTGAACTCACCTTAAATTAACCGGGGACTAAAATAGTAGTTTGAACAACACTTCGATTTTAAATATGACTTTCTATGTTGAAAACCGGGAGCTTAATTGAAAAATGGGCTCTGCGAAGGTAGGGCTTCAAAACCGAAAAGATAAAATTTTCGGGCTTCTCGGGGATCTCGAGGCGTGTTTCGGGTGCTAAAATTGATACCGGGGCTTTGGGGAAAGTCAAAATGAAGAAAATATGGAAAAAGGGGCCAAAAATGGCAATTTTCTAAAATTACCCGAGAAGGCTCGCAGGCCTCCTATTTTTAGGCGAGAGGCTCCGATCCGGAGCAATCAGAAGTAAGCACGTGGCTCGCATGCGAGCCTCCAGGTGGCTCGCTTCGCAGGTCGACACGAGAAGGGCAGGTGGCGGTCTCGGATTGGTTCAGCGCTTCGGTCCACTCGGAAGGCGATAGGAGCGTGAGGCGCGTCGGCAGTTCCGACGGGACACGACTCGGTGACGCAACAACTTCGTGCGAAGGACGTGGCCGAATCCGGACCTCTCATGCGAGATTTCTCGGATTTTGAGCCCCGAACTTCTAAAATCCATAACTTTCGCATACGAGCTCCATTTTTTGACATTCTTTATATGCACACGTAGCTAAAATTACGCTCTACAAGTTTCGTTTAGACTTCGTCGGCTAATTTTGACTTTATTTTTAATATTATTATTTTTTAACAGACTGGGACAGGAAAATTCGTTAAAAATTCATAACTTCTTCATCCGACATCCGTTTTCATCAAACTTTTTACCGTTGTACTACAAATGACGAGAACTTCAATTCTCGTTTAGGTTGTGTCGGCTAAAAATCACTCGATCTAAAATTCGAGTTTTTAGCTGTCTACTACTAAGTTGAAACTTCGAAAATCATAACTTCCTCATACGAAGTCAGATTTTGGCGTTCTTTTTATCGAATTTCTCGGTTTAACGAATACTAGGACTTCCATTTAGATCACTAAGGCTTAAAAGTAGTTTATCAAAAACTCACTTTTTACGTCATTTGGCGCTGTGCCGATTTTGTCGCGGATCTTCGATTGGTCATAACTTCTTCGTTATAACTCGAATTTCGATGAGGTTTTCGCCTAAATGTTTCTAACGAGATTCTATAAAACATAAAATAATAAAATTTTACTTATTTCAAATTTTATATTTTCGCTAAATTTTCATTATTTGGCTATTAATTGGAATCTCATAAGACTTCCAATATTTTTATGAGTATTCTAAACATCGTTTTACTTCATTTCTAGTAAAAACTATCTGTTAGAACTCAACACTCAATTTTATTCACTTTTAATAATAACAATACACAATTTCAGAACGTGTATGTTACAGTATAACCCTAAACTATACCTATTATAGTTTATTAGTAGACTTGTTTGTATGACTGAATGTACTGAATTGAGATAAAAGTCTTTATATCTATACATCTATACATATATATACATAATACATAACAGACACTCGGACAAACTACCGGGTACTTTAAGACCACAACCAAACAAGGAACATGAAGTAAAGTGGGATATCTATCCTAAGTCCTTCAAACCTTATTTATATAACTATATATGTAATAGACATGAATATATAAGTTTAAAGACTATAAAAGAAAGGTTTAGTATTAAAAGTGAATTTGATAAAGAGTTTAACATGTAAAATAGTTTGATAAACAGTTTGAAGTTATTTGTTTGGTAAAACAGTTTAAAACATGGAAAAAATCCATTTGTATGTTACTTATTAATCACATGTGATTGATCAAATAACTAATATGGTTCAACTTGTATTCCCCCCCATAAAGAATTTAAAAACATTTAAAAGCATTTCAAAGGTTAATTAAGGGGTATGAACTCACCTGTAGTGAGTGGTTTGGATGAACGGATGGTATAGGATGCTAAGTGTCAAGTGAAGACTTGAGCACACACACGGATCCTATTTATCATATAATAACACATATATGTATACAATTAGTCATTTAATAACTAATTAACCAAGTTAAGACACCCTATAATATGGAAAACACTTTGATTCGAGTGCTAGTAGTATCAAGGGTTGCATCTAAGGGATGTATAGCCATATAAGGGAGTTTTCGGTCCAAGAGGTTTTCGATTTATTTGGCTTTCGGTCCAAGAGGTTTTTGGTCCAAAGGTTGGCCGAAAACTCTTGTTATTTGATGCATAAGGTGTTTTATAAGGGTTTCCAATAAGCAAGTAGTGTTCTAGACTCAATACTAAGCATTAGGAAGGCTTAAAGTCATTTTGACACCTTTAATTAGGATTTTCGGTTTAAGGAGATGTACCAACCAAAAAATCCTTTTGTTCTTGGAAAAATTATGATTTCAAGGCTCTAAATTAAGTATCCTTACTAGATAACAAGTATAAGCGATAGATACTTATAATATGGAAGCAAAGAAGGGTGTTTTCGGCCCAAAACACTAGTGTATGTTCTTGGTGTTCTTGGTGTAACTAAGAACACTAGAAGATATACATAAATGGAATGATTTCATGGATGAAATCATGTAAAAACACTTGAATATGGGAGGAATCAACTAGATAGGGTAAGAAACACTTACATTTTAAAGATTTAGAAGGAAAAATCGGATGATACTTGAGAGGATTTCGGTTCTTGTTCTTGAAAGAGTGAAAAAGTGAGAAATATGGCTAAGTGTCATATATATACTCAAGGGGGTTTTCGGCCCAAATAGTGTTTGCACCGAAAACTCATAACTCTTGGAGTTTTTGCGAAAATGATGCAAAATGAACTTAAGGCATCCTCTCTCCTATTATTCCTTGAAGTACTAAGCTTTAAAACACTTGAACTGACTCCCAAAATGATTAACAGATGGCAGACATAGTTCTGATTTCTATTGAAGTGAATGATTGTTCAGAATAGAAATTTCAGGTTGTCACATTAACTGTTGACTTTTTGACAAGTTGCACTTTTGGTCAAACTTTGAAGGATTTAAGATGTAGACTGGGTTTTGACCTCTAATTGTTATCTAGGTGGTTCGCGAGACCGAGTCTTATGAGGATGTGTGTGTAGTTGTGATTCTTTAGCTTCACGTTCAGGCAAGTTATCTTACTATACTATGTGTTACAATATATATCATTTACATGATAGGATATAGTGTACTGTAGTATATTGATTATGAAAGTAGGCTAGTATAGTCTTTTTCATGTGATTGTTTGATTGTTTGATTGTATGATATGTTGATATATTATGTTGAGGGGTTGATAGCGGAACAACACTAGAGTTGTGAGCCTAGAATACTCATTGTTGATAAGTAGACAACACCAAAGCTAATAGTTGTCATTGATGACTAAATTATACTACATTCATTAGTCACTGTTAATAAGGTGGTATTTTGCAGTATGCATTGTATGTGTATTATAGTATGTTGTATTTTAGGGAACTCTCATATCTTTGTGTTTATAGTTATTGATTAAATGTTTTTCAAGTAGTTATGTCAATCGTGGGAAGGACCCAACTGATTGGACCACATGCACATCACTGTTGATCTATGCTTTTTTATTTCCATTGTTTTTATGATTCTAATTCAGATATTGATATGGTTTTGTGATTTTGGAAAGAATTGATACTTAAATTTTATGAAAACTAGTAAAGAACCCGCGGCTACCCCAATTTTTGGGTAATATGGGAAAAATCAGCAAATTTTAAAAGATATGTGTTGAAATTGTAAATCATCACAAATATGGGAGTAAGTTGACAACCCTGGAAATTTGTACAACCAAAAAAGGGACACTGATGGAGAAAATCCAAAAATGTTGTGACAATAATGTTAAAGTTATCAAAGTTTGGAAAATATGGTGGCAAAATTCTAAAGGATGTTTTTTGTTTTTTTTTTATGTCAAAATGTAAAAGTTTTGATTACAAGGGTGAAAAGTGTCAAATTCATTAAATATTTGTGGCAAAAACAGCAAAATGTAAAACTTTTCAATGCAAGGACTAAAATTTTCAAAGTCACTAAAGATTTGTGGCAAAAACCTAAAGACACCAAAGCTTAATCAAAACATAAAAATGTAAAATTTTTGACTTTAGAGACTAAAAGTGTCAAATTCACTAAATTCTTGTGGCAAGAACCTAAAGGTAAAAAAAGTACTATTGCTAAGCTCCATTGGATTTAATATATATATATATATATATATATATATATATATATATATATATATATATATATATATAGTTTAGGTTGTTTTACACTTTATTTTAAAAGAAAATTTGGGTTTGGAACTTGGGACATTATAGAGGTAGTCCCTTGTACGTGACAGAACAAAAATTTCGAGATGGGTGAGATGCTCAACATGCGAACACGTGCATCATTAGCGATCCATACTGGATAATTTGGATTTTCTCCCAGTTATGCCTTGTGGTCGTCGCAACAACAACAGGTGGCAAATGTTTGGATGGGGACATGGAATTGAGTCTTCCACTTAACCAAATAACTTGTGTGTGAAGAATAAGGGATGATTCATAACCTTCCAATAACCATAATTGGTTGGTGTAAGAGGAAAAGTAAATTTGTAGGTGTTGTGAGTTGTCTTCTCGACGATGGTAAAGTTATCGAGAAGAGCCATGTTGGCAGATGGTTAAGGGAGTTGTTGAATGGAACTCTAGTTGTTTCCTTGTAGTGGGCATAAATAAACTTTACGCTATGGTACCATAAGCACCCGATAATTGTATTGTGTATTATATATCGATATTAGGTTCGAAAGAGATCCTTATGAATATATGAAAGTATTTACACTTAGTTAGCCTCTAGTTTAAGCTTATTATAAACGTGTATAATATGGCCAAAGTGTATATATACGAGGAGCAGGGCTTTAGAGCATGTAACACTTGATGCTTCATGTTGCCGAGTTGTGAGAAGCACATATTCATGTACAATTATTTTGCAGAAATAACAAGAGAAGTTTTTAAATTATTTTTCAAAATATCTGCCCACAATTAGAGGATAGTGATTGATGTGCGTAATTCCATGAAAGTTAACATACCAACTTAAAAATATTGTTAGTTATCCAAAATTCGTTTATTTTTTTCTTTTTAACCTACTTTATCTTTATATGCTTAAGTGACCTATGGTGATTATGACAATGAACTCTTTTTTCATACAATAATGTTGCCAAATCTCTAAACCATGCACAACAACATATGACTATGTTATCATATATAAGTTCACAAGTGTTTTTTTTCCCGTACAATGCAAAATCTTGAGAAGGTCATCGCACAAGGTTAACATTTTTTTTCTTAACCAATTCATTTAAAGGGGCAACATTTTATCGAACATTCGTTTACAAAGACATATTTGGTATTCTTGTCTTGCATTAACAATAAAAGCAAGTAACAAAATTTCATTTATAGAAAAAGCATATGTTTTGTTTGTATGTGTATTTGATCCTTTAC